GCTGGCCCCAAACTTACCATCCTCCTGCCTCAGCTTTCTAAGTGCTGGGATTACAGCTATGCATCACCATGCCTGGCTTGTTTCTTTTTTAATTTTCTACAATGAATACAGCTGTTGTTTTTAACAAGGAAATAAAACATGATCATTTCCAACAGTAAAGCTCGGGGTCAGCAATCCCAAGGCAGGCCTGATGGCCCGCAAAAGGCTTTGGTCCACAGGTACATGTTCACTTGCAGTCTCTTCCAAATCCTTCATCTTACTCGGAAGGCAGCCAGAGCAGAGGAGCCAGTCCACACAATGGTACACGCTGCTGCTGACTGCCCTGTACTAGAGCTGCAATTTGCTAATGGTGTTATAATGAGACAAGCCAGATGCAAATGTAGGCAAGAGTAATTAAAGGCAGAGTGCCTAGCCTAACGGAGGAGGAAGGAGGGTAGTTTAGAGAGACTGGGTCCCTAAAACCTAAAATGGTGAGATTATAGGAAAGCATGAGAGGGGGGCAGAAGAGTGAAGAAGATCCTGGCAAGGTGAGAAAGTTTGGGTACATGTATCCTTAGAGTACCTTGCAGCAAGCCCACAGTGTATGCAAGTAGCACAGCCCACTTGCCACATTTCTGCTCATTGGGATGGCTATCTGGGAGAGACCTAAGACCAGGAAGGCCAGGATCTCCCTCTTCTGGACTCCGGGTCATCTGACCTCCTGACCACACAGTCGTGTGAGCCCCATGTGTGCAGGTACTGTGCATCACTCACTTCGAGTCAGGGTGTCCCCTGGGGTCCACCTGGACACCCACTTCCCAGCTGTACTAAGACCTGGGCAAACCACTTGATGATGAGAAGAGACTATGACTCCTGCACAGTGGGCAAGATAGGAATATTAACCCAGCCTGGTTCACTGTATACACTCCCTCTGCCTAAGCTTCAGCTCCCTGCCTCTGTGAAATGGAAACAACATAACCCACCTCACAGGAAGGCTGCCTATTCAGCAGTCAGCAAAGGGCCTGGGGATGGAACCTACTCCATGTTAATTGTCATGCTATAAGGTGCTCATTAAATCCTTCCATGCATGCTCTCATTCACTGACCATAAGTGCTAGGCACTGTCTCAGAAGCTGGAACACAAAGGTGTCAAAACCAAGTCAGTCCCTCCTCTCGTGGAACTTACATCCGGGTATTTTTTTTTAAATATGTAAACAAAGAATGGAAGAAATGAGAATCTTTAAGTATAAATTAGGCAGCAATACCAAAGCTCTGGGAGGGGCCTACTGGGGGAAATGACAACAGGAAAAGCAGCAGGGCTTCCTGATCTGACTGGGGGTGGGAAGACAGGCAGTGGGAAGATTCTAGACAGAGTGAAGAGAAGGCATAGCACAGAGAGGATAAGGAGTGGTATTTCTTCTGAAGTCAGGGAAATAATCCAGCCCAGGAGGTCATCTGCATCTTTACAGGATATCTATTTTCCATTCAGTGCAAGAAGAAGAAAACATTTAGACAAGTCACTTGTGGCCAAGGTATGAGGAATCATTACCCACTCAAGCAAAGGAAAATGACCAGTTGCCTTGGGAAAGCTGTAATTAGAAACTTAAAACAGAGCAGTTTTCAAAGCCAAAGTGGCATTTAACAAAACAAGCCACCTGTCAGCTCCCAGGAAGGAGAAGAGTTGGAACCCAGAGGAGAGCTGATTGACAAACCACAGGATGATAATCACAATGCTGAGACGGCTCTGAAAGCCAGGATGACAAGGATAAATACACGGCTGGCCTTGGCTTCCAAGGAGGGAGCTAAAGCACTCCGGATCTCCTATTTTGTTTCTGGGCCTTTGTTTCCTACCAAACAATAAAAAGGAAATGAATAAACCCCATGAATCGATACTGTTATTTCCTGCAATTGCTTCTGCAATGGTTTGGGGAGGAGTGTGTCCGCTAGGGATGAAATGGGGTTGACAAAAGAAAACATTACCCCTCACAGAGGTCACCAGGATGCAAGAGCCACCTCTGAAACTCAGGACTGAATCCTCTTGCAACTATGGTTCCATATCTTTGATGAAATGTTTCCCAGGAGTGACAGCACAAAAGTAACTTGGGGGAACTTCAGCAATGCCCCCGTCCCTTCCCATGCAACTTCCACCAGCTTTACCTCAACCCCAAAGCCACCAGAGACAGGGACTGTTGGCCATCTACCCCATATCCACTGTACCTCCTTCCTTAATCAACCACACTTCCCAGTCTTCTCTGCAACTGGGGTTAACTAGAGAGCTGTAAGTATAAGTCACAGGGGAAGCGAGGGTCTGAAAAACTCACTAAAGGAAGCTTACTATCCTGAAAGCCTCAACTCCTTAGAGAAGTCCTCTGTGAAATGCACTCTCGGTCCTCTCACTTCCTTCTTCTACCCGCTGGAAGTACCAGCCATCCCACAGGTAGCATAAAGTCACCATGATGATAAAAAGGCAGGCACTGAGGGCAAAAGAACAGAAAGAGAAGCAGCTTGAGTCCCCAGTGGCCACAGAATTCTCCCTCTATCCCTGGATACCAGGTATGCCCAGCCTTCTTTTAGGTAAGAGAAAAACATTGTGGAGGCCGCTGCTGTTTGGATTTTTTTATACTGCCAAATCTAGTCCTACTGGATCCCCTATTCCAAGCGTGTGCTATGCAAATGCAGTGTCAAGACAATGCTCCAAATCACTCCACCCACACTGCCAACTTCCTAGATAAAACGTTGAGCTGCCTCATCATCATTTTCCCACGTTACTCCAACCTCATGGTCATCTGGGGTTTTGCCACCATCATCTTCTCCTCTTCTCACAATCCATCCATTTCTGAGCACTCGCCCCCTCCCACTCACCCCTTCCACAAGAGAGCACAAGAGCCTCTCCTACCTCACCAGGTACCTAGGGCAAGGTTAAGGAAGGCATGATGCCTAAAACGGACCAATCAGAGATACTCTGGGAACGTCTGTAGGTACAATTAGTAATTAGTAAGGACATTCTCAGTTCAATTGCACTTCAAACTTTCAATTCTTTTTTCAATCTGAACTCTGTATGGAAAAACATAGTATCTATTAAGGCCGGTAATAAGTACACTCAGTGTTAGGCCTATTACTCCCCAGTCAATTCTAATTTAAAAAAAAAATCAAGCCTTTTAAATGGGTGCAGTCCTAGCCACTTGGGAGCCAAGACTTTAATACCAGCCTGGGCAACACAGTACCAAAAAACTGTGTAAAGGGAAAGAACCTACCTATCACACAAACACTGTTTTATCAGGACATTGGGTTGCAAAGCTTTCAGAGAGATGTGCTCTACAATTATCACCATACTCACTCACCTACCAGGAACTAATTTACAGTCTGCCAACAAGCCTGGGCCTTCCAAATGCCTGACACTTTAAAATGCATCTCCAACCCCCACTAGCCAAGATGGTCTACTACTCTCCCAGTGCCTTGCCTTGTCGCCTTCATACAAGTCTAAAAATCATTATCATTATCTTCCCCTCCAATGAAAATACTGAAGTCCTGGACTATCAACTTACACCAGGAACGCAGAGCTATTAAATGGCAATGCTGAGATTCAGCCACAGCCCCGACGGGAACCACAACCCACCGTTCCCTCTGACCTGCACACACCTTCGCCATGCCATGGTTTCCCTTTTACCATGGTAGTAGACAGTAAATGACAGTCGCTGGCTACACATACCATAGCCATTCAGAAACAATGAGTATAGTAAGGTTTTCTCAAGCCAAGAGTGGGGGAGGGGGCAAAAAAGGTCATGATGGGCATAGGACAGACTTCTTGAGAAGCAGCAAGAAAAAAAGGACACTGCACATCAATGAGAAAGCCACGCTCCAGGGAAGAGTGTAGGTCAGAGGACAGGGTGAACTGTGGTTACCAACACCACAGCTATCAGAAGAGCCAGGGTGGAATATGGTAAAGCACTGTGTTAACTCACACCATGGTGGTCAGTGACTTCCACAGAGCCTCCCCGTTCATCTTAACTAGTGGCCCTGACAGGTCAAATCTGGACTCAAGAGAAAACAGTACCCTTGGTTATTCAGGATGTCTAACACTGGCCAAGAGTCAGAGTGCTGGCATATTTGTAACAGACTTGCTCCACTTAACCTTCATAAACTAGAGAGAGACACCCTCTAAGGCAGAGGTCCCAATCACTGCACTTCACCTGCCCACTGAAATCACCTGGGAAGCTGTAAAAACACTCGTGCCTGGGTCACACCTCCATCTGAATGGGTTACAGGGTAGGCTAAGCACAGGGACTTTTGCAAGCACCCCAGGCAACTCAGTGTGAAGCCAGTCTTAAGAACCACTACTCCATGGGGTGAAGAGATGGTGTAAGTTCATAGAGAAAGTCATGGAGAGGCAAGGCTCTCTCTTCACTGGGGCTGCTGGGAAGACTCACCTTGTCTGCAGGGAGAGTACATGAGGAAAATGAGTCATACACAGAGGCATAAAGGAGCTGCGGCCTATTGGCTCACTACTGCCCCCCAACTCTGCACTCAGTGACATGGTGTTGGCAGTTGGAAATCAGCCCCAGCAAGAGTATTTACACCCTGGAAATCAACAACACTGTAAACCAGAGTCTTTCTTTTCTCAGAAGGCTGGTTGTCACCAGCACATCAGTGCTGGAGCTAGAGAGTAACAGGGCTGAGAAATGGTTAAAAAGAAAAATTAACTCCTGATACTAATGTATGAGCTGCTGGATCAAACCATCCCTGAAAGCACATTCTCTTGGACATTTCAGTCCATAAGGCTCACTACCATTCAACTATCTCAAGACTCTACACCTAAAATTCCCTAAGTACACAAGTTGATACAACTATTGCTGGAAGTCTAGCAAATCTTACAATATATTTTCATTTAGCAAGAACTCTTGGCAGGATTGATTTTGTAGAATGCTTAGCAGCACCATTTTTCCACTCCACATGAACAGTTTTCATCATGTGTTGGGTGTCTACTGTGTGCCAGGCCCCTCCCCAGGCTCAGTTCCCTCTCACCTTCAGCTGTTTGACCTTCTCTTTTCAACATCTGGACAGCTCCTACATATTTCTTCAGCTGGACTTTGAGCACCTCGTTTTCCCTGCAGGTACAAGAATGTTGAAAAACAGACTTTAAAAATGGCATTTTCAACCCCAATCAGGGGAGGGAATCTTTGTAAGAAAAACACAATTTGCATCTTACCAATATTAATATACTCTCATGTTTTAGAGCTTGTCACTGGGAAAGGCTATGTTAACAAGAGTCCATTTGCAGAATGCCCTTCAGGAACTTTCCTTTCAGTTAGGTGCTAACTGGTCCCAGTGCACAGAAGTTCAGAACGCTGTCATGTGCTGAGCTTAGGCAGTCTGAATCCACCAATGTACTAAGTGTCCGTTCACGGCCTTCAGTAGTAGACTCCCCATTTACCAAGTGTGTATTGAGCACTGGGCATTCACCCTGGAGAAGGCTCTTAATATTTTACAACTGCTATGTATATCAAACACCATTTGCTAGGCCTCATGCCAATGTTTATACATCATCTCATTGAATCCTTCTCAAAAACTAACATATCTCCCACTTTTTAGATGAGGAAACTAAGGTGTAAAGAAGAGAAGCAAGTAGGGCGTGGTAGCACACACCTATAATCCCAGACACTTGAGAGGTGGAAGCAGAAGGATCATGAGTATTACATGAGCCTGTTCAAAAGTGAGGAGGGGGTACTGGAGGTGTGGCTCAAGTAGTAGCATTGCCTAGTATGTTCAGAACCCTGAATTCAATCCACAGGAGGAAGACGGAGAAGGAAGGAGAGTGGGAGAGGGATACAGGGAGAGAGACAGAAGCAGTTGACCAAATGCACACCCACCACTGTATAAGATTATACCACAGAACACAGAACCACACTATGACACAGACAAGTCACCTCCTGATCGATTCCCCAGGTCCACTGCTGGCTGAGAATGCAACAGGAGGACCAGGGGTGGGGGGAACCTGCCATTTCTTGAGTTTGTCCCACCACTTAGACTTTACACCTCATTGCACTGAATCACATGTGCACACGTTCATTCACCTATCCTTCACTCTGTGGAAAATGCCGATGATCTTGTAATATTCTCCACATTTTATAGGAGAGAATTTGGACAGCCAGGATCTCTGACCAAGGTCACAGGACCATCATCATCAGTAAGATACACGGCCAAGATTCAATCCCAGGTCAGTCTGTCCCTGGGGCCAAACAAGAGCTTTCCTCTGTCTCTCTGTAGATTCAGACTTGGTGTCTCACTAGCTACACCACAAGGAGGTGTCTCTTCCATATTCTTTATTTCAGCCCACCCCCCACTTCCCACCCTAGGCTGCAATAAGATCTCAAAAGAGGGGTGGAAGTGGGGGGAGGGGAAAAAAGATGGCAAGATGGCCAATTGCTGACATTCCTATAGCCTAGCAGCAACAAACTACCCCACAAAAGGAAGATCAGAGGACCCCAAAAAGCACCACTGGGTCGTCCCATAACCAGTGAGAAGAAAAACCGTCTCCAAAACCGCAAATAAAGAAACAACTAACCACAGGAAGAATGGAAAGAGTGACCCCCAGAACAACACTCCCAATCCCCAGCCTCTGAAGTCACCATGCAGCTACAGGCTCCATTACTCGGCAGTAAGTCCTGCTGCCAGGAACACACAGGAACTCAGAGCTCCATGCTCCCCCCAGTACATGACCTGCTACCTTCACCCTGAAATGCCAGGGAAACCAACACCCTTGTGTAAGCAGGTCCCACAGCTCCCATTGCTCCACGGGTAACAGAAGGTACAAGCCAGTAGGCTCTGTTCCCCCAGCAACAGTGCCACAGAACTTAGCTCCCTGAAGCCCAAGAGGAAATCACACCCAGAACTCCTGCCGCCTGCAGGCTTGGTTCTCCCGGCGGAAGTGCCACAGAACTGCGTGCCCTGAGGCCCATGTGGGAAATCAAGGCCTGGAATGTCTGCTGCCTTCAGGCTTTGTTCTCCTAAGCCAGCAGCAGCTGCTATGGCTCCTGAAGCCCATGCCCCAATGCAAGTAGACCGCAGGGCTTCTGCTGCCTGGTGGGCAACAGACGATTCAAGACCAATGGCCTTGCTGCCCCACGGGTACCCTCAATTGCTACACATGGCCAGGAGCCTGCTACCACACACCAAGTGAACCCCAGGCTCCAGGCCTTGCTATTCTGCTGGTGCCAGGAGGCTTACCTCCCACAGAGCACAGAGGCCCAGCCTCCCCATGGTCCCTGACAGCAAGAGAGCCCTCGCGCCCTCATCAAAAAGCAAGAACGCCAGATTCCCCACTGAGGGGAGGAAAGCTAAAGCCCACTACTCTGCAGGCAGCACCAGAACCCCTGTTCCCTGCAAGACACACAGAAGCCCAGTGCTTCACGCTGCACCTCCCTGCAGGAGAGTTTCTCCTGTCCAAGAGCTGGAATCCCAGCTCCTCCACCAAGTGGCAACCCACTACTCTGCTGGTGCTAGGAGGCCTGCCATCCACAGTGCACAGAGAACCAACACTCCCTACCATGACTGCAGGAGAGCCCCTGAGCCCCCATCAAAGAGCAGGAACTCCAGCCCCCTCACTGAGGGGAGAAAAGAAGAAATTGGCACCACAACAAGAGCCCCGCAAGGGGTAACATATCCAGCATAACCCTCTCTGAAGAACACTGCTAGAGCTCCAGGAGGGGGAAAAAAAAAACTCAAAACACCAACTATAGGGGCACAAGAGATTAGAACCATAACCACAACAACTCCCGATGCGTAAATCTCAACACAGAATGAAACATCAAGACAACACTCTCCATCAAAAGCCAATTCCACCACTCAGGTGCCAGATGTTGGGCCCCAACTAGGAAAAAAATAACAGATGTGGGGCCCCGTTAAAAAAAATAACAGGGACATCGTCATTTCAGGCTCAGGCTCCTTTGTTCCTTAGCACTGACCTGAGCACAACCTCTCCTCTGGAATGCACCATAACCTGGGCATGAATCCTCCTCTGGAATGCACACCTCAGCCCTGATCCAATCATAATTGAGCAAAGCAGGCCTTTGCCCAAGTTGACCAAAAAAAGGAATAACTCTGGCCACATTCCTGATGACCAAGACACAATGGAGTAAAAACCAATTCCAATATGCCAAGACCCCCTGACCTGAATAACATCCAATCTGTTCACCCCTAGGATGGAAAGTCCTGCCTCCTGCCCTTCCCCAATAAAAACCCTGCTGGGGTGAGGCTCGGGGCTCTCTGTGCAGATACGCTGTGCCGGTGAGGTTGGAGAGCCCGAGCTTAAGCCCGAATAAAGGCTCTTTGTTTTTGCATGCGACTTCGGACTCCTGAGCGGTCTTTTGGGGTCTCACGATCTGGGTACAACACCAGACACGTGCATAGAGGAAGAGCTATCAAAAAATGATTAACAACCTCAAAGAAGAAACAGAAAAGTTAGTATTTCACCTCAAAGAGAATGTGAATAAACAATTAAATGAGTTCAAAAAAAAATACAAACATATGAATGAAATTAAGAAGACTATCCAGGATATGAAAGAGGAAATCAATAAAGATATGGAAACCCTGAAAACTATTCAACATAAACAACTCAATATCCCAAATAAATATCACAATCAAAAGCTTGGTGAACAGAATGGAATAAGCTGAAAATAGAGTATTAGACCAAATAGTGAAAGACCATGAGAGAATGCTAAGAAAATATAAATGGAACTTGCACAGTATCTGGGACACCATGAAAAGACCAAATCTATGAATCATGGGTATAGAAGGAGAGGCGATACAAACTAAAGGCATTGACACCTATTCAATAGAATAATAGCTGAAAACTTCCCTACCCTTGAGAGAGAGTCACCCAGGTGCAGGAAGCTTACAGAACAAGGACCAAAAGAAAACATCCCCAGATATATCATAGTCAAAACACTCAGCACACAGAACAAAGAAAGAATTCTGGAAGCTACAAAAGAGAAAAACAAGTCACATATAAAGGCAAATCCATTAGAATAACAGCAGATTTCTCAGCTCAAACTCTAAATACAAGAATGTCATGGAAAAACACAATCCAGGCCTTGAAAGAAAGTATCTGTCAACCTAGACTAGTCTACCCAGCAAAACTATCTTTCCTAATTGAAGGAGAAAATAAAACTTTCCACAACAAGGAAAAACTAAGGGAATTTGCAACCACCAAGCCAGCACTACAGAAGATACTTAAGGGACTTTTATACATAGAAGAAGAAACAACAGTGAGACAGGTAGACTCAAGAAAGAATAAGCCCTTTTGAGCAAGCAGACTAGTAAACAAGGAATAGGTAAAACTAAACAACAGGGAAAGAAAAGTGACTGGAAACAACAGACAATTCTTAATACTAACACTGAGTATAAATGGCCTCAAGACCCCAATCAAGAGACATAGAATAGCAAATTGGATCAAAAAAACAAGACTAACCATATGTTGCTTACAAGAGACTCATCTAACTGAAAAAAATAAACACTAGCTTAGAGTCAGAGGGTGGAAAAAAGTTTTCCAAGCACATGGACCCCACAAACAAGCAGGAGTAGCTGTACTCAGATCTCACAAAGTAGACTTCAAATTAAAATCAGTCAGAAGACATAATGAAGGTCACTTCATATTAGTGAAAGGAACAATTCACCAAGAGGAAATATCAATCTCTAACATATATGTACCAAACACAGGGGCACACATCTACATTTAAAAAAAAAAACAACTCTAATGGCCCTAAGAGCAAAGATAGATGCTAACACAGTGATATTGGGAAACCTGAATATCCCATTATCACCAGTAGATAGATCACCCAGACAAAGATAAAGAAACATCAGAGCTACTACACACATTAGACCAAATAGACATGGTTGATATCTACAGAGTATTTCACCCAGCAACTAGGCAATACACATTCTTTTCAGCAGCTCAAGGAACTTTCTCCAAAATAGATCATATTATAGGACACAGAGCAAGTCTCACAAATTCACAAAAATCAAAACAACCCCCTGCATCATATCAGATCACAATGGAATGAAACTAGACCTCAATAACAAAAGAAAGTCCAGAAAATACTCAAAAACG